AAGACACTTACGGAATGAGATCAGATACAGCTCTATCTTTAGTGAACCATAGTCTAGTGCCTCTGTGGCATTTTAAGCCTTTGGCTGAGAGTGAATACAGCTTTGTGGTTCCCCTGCTTCTGACATGATTTGGTGATCCCATATATTTGTGGGTTTCTTTTTTTCTTTCATTAGAGCTTGTTTGGCTATAGGGCTGCTTAACACTCTTCTCAAACGGCTTTTGCAAGGTTAAAGGAATGCAGCTTGGTAACAAGTTTGTGTCATTTTAAATATATACCTTCTAGTAAATAAGGAGGAGTCTTGCAATCAATCCCTTTTAGTGTGTTATATGTTTCACCTGACAACTAAACCCTCTATTGATTAACCATTACTTTGTTAGATAATCTTGTGTCATTGAAGCCACTGTAAAAATTAAACTCTTTAAAATGTTTTACCCTAGCAGCAGTGTGAAAATTGAAAACTTGTTCAGAATTACAGCCAGCTTCCACAAAGAGGGTAGTTTTCAACAAACTGGTTTATGTTTGCATGCTTTATATGCAATATAAAAACATATTAAAGCACTCCAACGCAAAGCTATCTGCCTGTAGCGTTGAACCAGGCTACCATTTCAGAATACTTTTCCTTGATGAAGAAACCTCTTATTTTGATGAAAGGTGAGGAGAGACTTGAACAGTTTTGGTGCAGATTAGATGAGATATGTAAAAGGGTCAAGCTTTAAAGGCGAACTTGAGAAATATCCTTTTCTAAGGCTTAGTTTTGGCTTTGATTTTCCTGCTTTTCTTCCACGTGAGTCAATGTTCCCATGGGTGTTGGAACAAATGGAAGGAGGTACTCTTATGTTGTGGTGTATCATTAGACACCATCAAATGTTTCACCTAACATGAAGGGCTCTGCATTATTACTTGATGATATTACATTAATTCTGCTTTCAGAATTCACTAGTCCAAAATACTTACTGTGAATAGGTCCAGAATTCACTGGACCTATTCACAATAACTATTAGTGTATGAGCAATATCAGATGAAACCAAATCTCCGTGTCCAGCAGCCATTTCGTGTCTCTCAGTAGCCAGTAACTGCTGCCTGCAAAAAAGCAGTTGGAGACTACCATGTAGTACTGCCTGGACAATATATTCTCCAGTCTTCTTATGACCTGGCCTCATGAGCCAGATGCAGCTTCTTTGTAACATTGGCAATACATTTCTTTTGAGACCTATCAAGCAGAGTGACATTATCTCTTTTTCCTCTGGACTGTAAGGAAGAACTAGGTTTTCTGTGTTTTGCTTTCAACCCTTTAAAACATACTGTAGAACATGTGTGTGAATCTTCTTTGTGCTCTTTATTCATCCCGCAAGGCTAATAAGGCATTCTTCTGTGAGAATTTGAAAATAAGAAAAATTTTGTAACTTTGCAAAGACAGTAATGTATGTCAAACTGAAGAGTACTTTATGTTTTATTCTCAAATATGCATCCTGATGTGTTGAATCCACAATACATACTCTTTTAATTTTCTCTTTTTCCCTTCTACTGAGAAACAAAGAGCTGCTGAAGGACTAAATGGTTGTCTGGTAATTTGGCACATACATAAATCCTTATGTAATGAAATCACTGTGTAAAGTTAGCTCTTACAGTAAAAGCATGTCCTTCTCTCCTTCTGTGGTTGAAAAGGTTGGGAAGGAGGAGTTCCTTGGTATGTTATCAGAGAGCAGAGAGGTGTATTGATAGCATGAGAATGCCCAGGTCAGTCAGACCCAGAGCTCATCCACTGCCTACTCCAGCACTGTGGAAAGTGCTGTTGAATGGGAGCAAGGAGGTCTGGCCTCTTTTGGTACTCCATTGCCCTCCTGTCCCTGCAGCATCTACTGATGTTCCACTAGGGATGTCTGGAAGATATCTGTGCTGAGTATCTCTGGAGCTGCTGTCCCTGAGTTTGTTTAGTCCCTTTTTCCACTTCTGATGGTGTTTCTTTGCACAATGTCCTGGGGCAGGAAGCACCAGAAGTTCACTGCCAAATATGTGAAGAAGTGGTTCATTTTATCTTCTTTAAATTAATGATATAATAGTCAAATGTCAGTAGTCCTGGTATTGTGGGATTTGATGAACAAGTTTTGCTGGAAGTTCAATTGGTGCTGTTCTCATGAGATGTAATGTGTTGGTGAAAGTAATCAAAATTAAGCAATACACTAGAATAATTATTTGTATTTGCATTCTGACATGCATGTAACTTTTGAATAGTGCATAGTGAGCTTCTTTCATTCTCAGAAAATGCTGATGTCTCTAGCTTTAGCATTTAGTATTTCACATTTTGTGTTTGGATTGTCTACCCTTTCCCATTTGTAAATGTGAAGAAAGCCTATTGCAAGCCCAGCTTTTAAAAAGCTGGCATGTAACCAAAGTTTATGCATACCTGTCTTGGGAGGAAAAAGGCTGACAAGATTTGAGTTCATGGTTCAGTTCACAGAGCCACAGACTTCTTTGTTGCTTTCAGTAAATGTTTATGTGGCTGAGATTTTGATCTGCAAAGTGGAGTTTGTAGTAGCTTTCCTCAATCAGGGCTCCTCATAAAACTTACAGTATGTAGCAGACAAGTTGTGCAGAAGTACTGCATATGGAATTATAGGAATTAAATTGTAAGTGAAAAAAATCACAGAATTCCAATAAATGGGTTAAATTACACAAATGTGAAAACTGAACAAAGAATCTTACCAACTCTTCATGTTTTTTTGCCTTCACAATCTGGTTGAATTTAACTAATACCATGCCTGTAAAATGAAGTTTGCATGGTATTGTCTAAATGTCAGTGCAAAGCAGATGGTATCAACTTTTTGTCTGTCGGTTGGGATGCTATATCTAAGCCCCAATTTATAGTAGTTTATACCATTCTGATCTTTCTTCTGAGGAAAAAGTTTTATGCATACCAGGGTGATGGTTTTATGATGTTGGCAAATATTTGCAAGAGGCAATCAGACTTCTGTTTGTTTGTGGCCTAATCCAGCTTGAATCTGAACCTCTCCTGCTGAAAGATGTACTTTGTTCATCTGCACAGCACCTTAAAAGAATTCATGTGTTTGAATTCTTCAGTTTCTCCTGGGTCTAGAGACAGAAACTGCTTGCTGGCTGCTAGTCAAAGCAGATCTCAATGTTGTGACATGTAAGGAGAACTGCTGGAGCCAGAATATTCTGCATTCCAGTCTGTCACTAATTGTTTCTGGTTGGAGAGCTCAGTGAGAAATAAAACATGAACGCTAAAGCAATGGAGAAGATAGGGCTTCTGTGATCTCTTTTGTTTCTGTTTCATGGTGAACTTTAAAGGTTCATGTAGATAGGTAAGATGGAAAGGACTGTGATATCCTTAATTTCTCCAAGAATGTTTGTACTGTGCTGGTCCAGTACAGATCCACCTAAGCCAGTATATTGATTTCCCATTGTGTACAGTAAGGAATGTTTCATGAGGATGGTAAGAACTTAGGTGAATGTTATAAACTGATTGAGAACACTAATTTCCCATCAGTTGGTGCTTACCTGAGCTAGGGGCTGCTGGGAATGCTGGTTTTGTGGACACACCTCCTATCACTCAGCATAAACCCCTTTTCATCTCTTTGCATTTTTGTCTCTGAAATCCTTTGCCATGTGCTCCTCTGCCAGTTTTTATGTTGCTGCTGACAACATTTTACGCAGTCAGGCCTCTGGCAGAGGGGCAAGAGAGGAAGATTGTTTTTTGGTTCTTGGCATTGAGGGAATCTGGCTCTGGTGATGGAGCTTTGGGCAGAGAAGTATAGGAGCTCTTATCATGCCAGTGTTGTCCACAGGTTTTGTAACCTGTAGCAGGTTTAGGGTTGAAGTAATTTCAAATCAAGCAAATGGAAATTGTAGCAAGCCCTAAAGAAAACATTTCCTGAGATTGCCAGTGAGTATTACAGGGAGATAACTGACAGGCAGCTCACTTCAAGTCTTTGTGCATCCTCCCATTAAGGCAATCTTAAAATATTATGAATGTTAGTATGCTTTTCTTAGTGCTCTTGAAAATGTCTTCGTAACAAGTTTAATTTCATTCTTTTTCAGTATCTTTCTTGAGTTTCCCCACACAACTTTTTGAGGTGGCAACATCTTCTCTGTGGTCCACTTTCTGCTCTTGAAACAAATCAAGTTGGTGCTTGCTTTTGAGCTACCACTTTTGCATGGGAGCATTTTTCTGTAAATGGTGGCGGGTGTATTAATCCCATACTGAAGCTCTTAGATGCAAAGGTGCTGGGTGTGAGGAGGAGAGCCTCTGTTAGAAGCTCCTGAGTTCTTCAGGCATATTAGTTTAAACAGCCAAGTCAACCAAATTATAATTGTAAGCCAACTTCGTAAGTATTGTTCATACACTTCCCTCAAAAGGGAGAGAGACTACAAGTGATGTGTTCTGCAAAGAATCTGAAGTCTGCAGCCCCAGCTGGGGGTCACTTGGTCAGGACAGCATTAAAGAAAAAAGACATTCTCCTTCAAAACAATTTTAAGAGCTTTACCTAACTGGGAAGATTAAATACAGCAATGGAATGTGGTCTGCATTTGCTCCCTTCTGATTATAACATTCATTGTGTCCCATGTATTTTATATTTTATATCCTGATAAAGTCAGATGTTTATTCACATTTGACATACTCTCTGATAACTAGTGTGTAGAAAGCACCTTTCTTTAATTGTTCCATTATGCAGCATTTTGTGAAAGAACAAAAACTGAGATGAGATTTTTTTTTTTCCATTTTCAAAGGAACAGAGGAGAAAAATCTTTGTCTTTGTATTTCCGTACTGTAAAATTGTACATGGATTCTCAGAGAACGTGCATGCCCTGAACATAGACTTTTGCTATAAACTAGTTTATATTGGTTTGAAACATTTACATCTTAGAAAAAGGAAATGTAGTAGAGTAGTAGAGTTAGTGTAGGTTCCTGTGCCAAAAATGTGGTGCCTGAAAGAAAATTGTGTTCTTCTATTCATAACCATTTTAATCTTTCTGCAGACCTACAACAGCTGTGCCAGACTGTGCTTAAACCAGGAAACAGTATGTCTAGGAAGCACTGCTATGAAGACTGAAAATTGTGTGGCCAAAGTAAGTAACAGAATGGCTTTGGTTTTGAGGGATTTTTAGTAAATTGTTCATTGTTAGTCAAGTTCTTGTTAAATGTTCTTGTTAAATATTAAAAAGTTATTTTTAAATATTACAGTTAGGAAAAAAATATTTAAACAAAGAGTAAGTATTTTGGGTAGGCTTTTCTCTCCTTCAGGATCCTGTTTTGCTGTTTTTCTCTGCTGGAAATGATTACTTGAGTCCTGAGCTATGTAGGATTGAAGGGTTCATTTTGCCATACAAGTAATGGGCTTTTCCAGTGGGAGGACCTATGCCGGCCATGTAATTAGCTGTGGCAACTTCAAATGACAAATGTCCAGATACATATTAGAAATACTGCATGAGAGCTCTGTGTATCATGGTTCCCTTTCTTAGCTACCAGAAGGGAGGTGCAAAAAGGCTTTCAATTAAAATACAGTGAACACTGCACTTAAAGGAAAGGGACAAGGGAGATATTACAGTCAGAATGATAAGAAAATTAATTTATTAGCTTGTCACAGAAAAGTAATTTCTTGACAATTAAGGTAGATGTGATTGGAAAAGAACAGATGCCATTAGCCACCCTCTTGTCTTAGAATTCAGCATAACTAGAGTAAACCAATGTACAGCTTGGTCTGTTTGTGAATTGAGGACATTTGAACCATGATGATGTGTGGAAAGGCTGCGTGAAGGATGCGTTTAGTCTTGTGTAAGCTTTGTATTTCCACTGAAAGGAAGTTTAGAATGGGCATGCAGCACAGATCAGTGCATGCAGCCATCTGTTACTGAAACCAGCTGGCATTTTGCTGCTCCTCTGTCACCACAAACCTGACCACTCAAAAGCCTGTTTTCTCTTTCAGTTATTATTCCTTGATCTTCTTGAAGTCCATTTCTTTTGTACTTTGATTGGTTGTTAAAGGTGCCTTGTCCCTTCAGGGGCCACTTTTGTACTGACCTTTAAGATAATTTCCCAGCTAAATCTTTGCTGGGGTTGTGCTGGTGAAATTTGGATGTCCCATTACTTTTGACTCTTCTCAGGGCTACCATAGACGTTTGTAATGGTGCTTGCAGGTGGCTTAGCACTCATAAACTGTGCTTGACATGCCAGTTATATTCCACTGGAGGAGCACTTCCAAGAGAAGCTACCAGTTCTGGTACAAATTCCTGGTACAAAGTTTGGTACCAGCACTTACATTCTTAACATGACTGGTCTTGCACACTGCTTCCTAAGGTGTTTTATGATACAGACTAGGTGAAACTCTTTAAGCAGAGCAGCTCTGACTGAGTTATCTCATCATGGAGCATTGTTCCAGTGCCATAAAGCTGCTCACAGCAAGCTCATGGGAGTAAATCCATTCAACCCCATCTGCACTGCAGTGTCGTGTTTGACCTAATTGCCTCACTAAGGAGCAAGGGTGTGCAAGAAGTACAGCTAATTTAAGTGGTGCCTCTTTTAAATAAAATCACATACTTTAACAACTTCATGTCCTAATAAGCTCTCCAGAAGTTATGTTTTCAGCAGGTTTGTGGTGAGAGGTGTGGGTAGGGCTCAAGGCAGGAACAGCAAGACTTGTTTCATGCTGTTGAGGATGAATTTGAGACATCATCCTGGAGATAAAAACGTGTATGTTTTAGAAGTATCATGTCTCTATATGCTGTAGGGCAATATATATGTATATATACTCTTGGACAGTCTACCATCATATATGTATGGAAAACCATATCTATTGCATACATACATGCACATACATGTGTGTGTATATATATATATATATATATGTATATATATATATATATATATATATATATATATATATATATATTTATATCTTTCTCTAAAAAACCATAAGGACTTTTCTGGGGGTATAATTCCTCTAGTAATAGCTTGCCTGGCTAGTACTTTGCCTTCCTATCTACAAACCAAATGAAGTTGGTTCTAAGCAAGCTTGTCTTTCAAATTCTAGAAGTTTCAAAGCATTTATAAATCCAGCTATCTAAATGCAAATGGTTCAATGATGGCATAGGCAAATGGCAAAACTGTTAAATGTTCCCTAGGTGAAGGCTTAAATGCTTTGTATAGAATTCAGAGGCCTTCTCCTACCACATGCACACAGCAAGTTTTATCTTCCATTATTGATGTATTTTATAGCCTTGGATTTTAAAATGTTTTGTCAGGGAGGTGAATACTGGAAGGTGCTGCAGTTTTCATTATCTGCAGCACTTTTCCAAATGTATTATAGGGGGTTCATGAAACATAGAAAGGGTTACTTTGGAAATCATTATTTTTTTTTCTGATCCCTGACTGGGATTAACTGCATTATCAGCTGCTTGTCAGATATGTCAGTCAGTCTGCAAGAGACAATGGTTTTTCTGAAAACTAAATTTCTGATTCTGCACATACTTGCAGAAAAGATAATTGTGCTCTCTTAAGACTGTATTAATGGCATTTACTGATTGTGTGCTTGACATTTCTAAAAGTTTGTTCAAAGAATGAAATGCAGTTACCCTTGAGGCCACACATACCAATACTGAGGGATCTTCTCTCAGACTGGAGCACTGCACATTTGTTAAACTCTCTTGTGAAGGAGTGCTTCTGTACAGGACATCCAGTGTAAACTACCAACCTAACAACTGGCATTCTTCCTAAAACAGAAGGAGGAAAAAACAGATACACATATTCAGGTGTGGAAAGCAGCACAGGGCCACAGTACTTTGATCACTCAAGGAAGTTTGTGTTTATTAGGAAACCTTGTCTGTCTGGTTTTGTGTACAGAGTCATGCTGACTCTGCAGCCAGGTGCTCTGTGCCTTTTGCAAACCTATGAATTAACTAGTTTTATTCAGACATTTTAAAATAAAGCTAGAATGTAATATTCTAATGAATCTTTGTGTCTTGTTCTTAGCTCTTCTTTTCTGGTATTTGTCCTCTGAAACTCCATTGATGGGACTTAGGACTTCCTTGTTTGGGTAAAAGCAAATAAGGAGCATTAGAAATTGTTTCAAGTGTGTGCATATTTTGACTGAATATCTGGGATCTTAAATTAAAAATTATACATCGTGATGGACAGATTTCATATGTGTGATTTGTAGCATCATTTCTCTTGCATCTATCAGAGTTTTTCTGTTATTTTTTGGCATCTTTTGCCCCTTGCCTTTGAGTTATAAACAAATCTGATGTATATTCAAGCCAATGTCTTTTAAAAGGAAATGCAATCTCTAATTGTGTTTTTACATGTATGTGTACACACACTGGCATATATATGTATAAACTTCCTCTTTTTGTTTCTTTACTTATTCGAAAATCTCTGCAAGAGATTTTCTTTTAATGATGCTACTGGTGTGCAACCACAAGTGGACAACTTCCTCAGGAATTGGTGCTAGGTGCTTAAATAAGGTAGAAATGTAGCATGAACCTGGGCTCCAAGGACAGGGTGTTTGATTTTAATGAGGCTTATTGAAATCTGGCCAAATGAGCATCTGTTCCTATTGTTTGTTCCATATTTTGTAAGCCAGTATCTTCAGGCAGATAATGGTGTTGGTGTGTGCTTCATCCTCAATTAGAGAGGGACATAGTTAAAAGTCCCCTGGCATCTGGTATGTCACTAGGATTCTTTTGATGCTCCTGGGTGTGCAAACAAGTTTCTCTCCTGTTCTGTGTCCAGGAAATCTTTCTGTGGTGACTTTCACACTTTCTGTTTGATGTGTGGTGAGGGATGCTCTGGTGTGTCTCCAGTCTCCTTGGCTGAGTATTTGCTTGGATGGATTATATACAGTCCTGTTTTCAAACAGAGGTCATGCCTTTTCACACCTTTGTATGGTGTGTTAGATTGAGTTTTGCTGTTTGCTTCGAGTTTGTAGATTTTGCATTACCCTGGATCCTAGACATACCCTTTTGATTCCAAGTGCTCTTTTCTTTCCCAGCAGGAGATTTGTGTGTAGTTGATCTCAGAGCTCTTCAGTCAATACCCATTTCTTCCATTCATTAGATAGGTCTTACTGTTTGTTAACTCCTGCAGTTGGTTCCAGTTCATCTATATCTCCTGTACAAAAGAGCGTTCTCAGTTTCATTTTGTACATTGAATTCTTTCCTACTTGTGCCAGAGACAGGCACCCTGTGGCATCCCTGTGAGAGACAGCACTGATGAGACACCTTCAAAATGGAATGCAGCATCCGCAGGTTTCTACTTAGTTCTGGACTCAGCAAGATCAGCTGGGAGAGAGTCTCTACCTCTACCTTGATCTAAATAGAATTAGAAGAAGAAAAATATAGTGACGCATGCCACCCTTGAAAAATCCGACTTCTGTTTCACACCACTACTTGCTACCCACATGTGATAACTGGTCTTGCTTTTTAAGGTCCTGGCAAACTAAGGCACTTCTCAGGGTCTTTCAAGCATTTTCTGTCTTTTAGGGAATCGTTGCTGTTCATCATATTTCTAAAGGTGGGAGGGAGCCCTATTGTGCTTAATTCTGGAAAAACGGAACTGTGAGAACAGACCTTGGCACTTCCAGCATGATATGTGAAATTTCCTTTCAAAGATGCATCTTATTATTTAGCTATAGCTACACATTTTACACTCAAGGGCGATTCAGCTAAAGCAAGGAGTGGTGGAAGTAGCTGGTAATTGAAATCTTTCGTTTGTCAGTTCTTTCTGCATTGCTACTTCTGAATTTTTAGAACAAACATAGTCTGCACAATAATAACATTAAGTCTGGAATTTTTATATGAATTTGAAGGAGCAGCTACAAGCACTCTTTAATAAAGAAGCGTTTAGGGTTCCAGGCTGGATGTTCCAGTTGGCAGTAGGACAAATTGATCTGAAGATGTCCCTCTTGTACTCTCAAGTCCCTTTATGTCACAGATTGATGGCTCTTTTTTTCCAGAGTGTGTGTCTGCATTTACTTTGCATGAATAGCACTACCAGCTCAGAGTTCTGCTGTGATATACCACTGACTCAGTGCATCTTCAGATAATGTATTGTTTTCTAGTGATTTTGAAGCCTT